TCGATGGCGCGGACTACGTCGTGGATAACTTGGCCAAGAGCGCAATTCGGGGCGAATCGCCGCCTCGGGAAGTACAGCGCGACAACCGGATGTTCAGCGACGTCTGCAATCCGCGAGTTTGCCGGTGACGTCGCCGCCGCAGTTGGCAGAAACGAAGCGCCCGACAACGTTTTTTTTTTTTTTTTTTTTTTTTTTTTTTTTTTTTTTTTTTTTTTTTTTTTTTTTTTTTTTTTTTTTTTTTTTTTTTGTTTTTTCTTTCTCTCTCTCTCTCTCTCTCTCTCTCTCTCTCTCTCTCTCTCTCTCTCTCTCTCTCTCTCTCTCTTATATATATATATATATCTTTCCTTCTCGGGGATCGGCAGCTGGGAGTGAAGCGCATCCAGGACAGGCGCTTTACCAGCGCTGACATGGGCAGCAATGGCTGAACGAGAACTGGAACATCATGGCGACCATGGCCCGAGAAGCTTCTGAGGACCTCGAGCGGATGAGAAGAGCAACGAACTCATCTGGGCGGTTGAGGAAGCACGCTGGATCATGCCAGGCCCGTCAAGGAAAGCAGGAACGCCCGCTACGACGTGATCGCCGGCGAGGCCATCTCTGCCCGAGGGGTCGACATGTTAACAGCGCAGTGCATCATCAATCTTTGGCCCCAGGTGGAGACAGCTGGCCGCTCGGAACCGCGCTTACTCATTGGCGTCGCTTGCTTCGAGGCAGCTCGCCAGCGCAACGCGGACAGCGCGAACAGCGGGAGCGTGATTATCGACGCGGTGTGTGTGTGTGTGTGGGGGGCCGCTGGACGAAGATCCTTGACAAGGACAGCAACGCCACCCGCATCATCAAGTCTCTCTTGCGCGGCAGAGGCCTCCTGGGCACCCAGGAGCAGAACGTCGTGAGGCTTTCATCAAAGGCAGTGAGGTTGTCTCAAAGAACGACGGCGTCACTGGATTCCACGGCCATGGACATGATGATGGAGACGTGGGACATCTCGACAACGTTCTTGCAGGGGCCGCGGTGCGAGCAGTTGCGGAAGCTCGCCGAGCGAATGGGCATTGAAATCCGTGGGCAGCGCAAGGTCACTCCCCAACCGCCGGCCAATGTCTGGCGACACTTCAGGGAGTATTCTATGGCGCAGTGGACGCTTCATTACTACTTTCGGCGTTTGCTCTGACACTACACATGCTTGAACACCTGAAAGGAGTACAGAGCGTGTTTGACGACAACTTCTTCATGTGGGTCAGGGACGGTGACGTCGTTGTGGTGTGGACCTTGCGCGTGGACGATATCGCAGCTTTGGCCCGGACATCGTGGTCGCAGTGGGGCCTCGAATCAATGGGGAAGCAGTTCGGCCAGATCAGGCGACATCAGTCACCCTTCCCACGCATGGGAATGAGCTATGATATTCTCGGCGAGGGACACTTATTCATATACCAGCACGTGCCCACCCAGAGCCGGAATAATATCGACATCCCGTTGAAGCTCAAGGGCAGGGTGGACCACGAGTGCCACGCGAAATTGACTCATGAATTTCGATCGGTACTCTGTGCTCTTCTTTGGCTCTGCCAGGCACGATATATCATCTATGGTGACACTGTCTGGCTACGACAAGTGGTCTTCAAGAGTATCATCAACCATTTGAAGCAGGCGGACCTCATCGTCGACCGGGTCAAGAGAAGCATGACAATGGCCGGTTAATGGTTTTCTTTTATAAGTTTCTTGCGAAGAGGTGCTCAATTGGTGGCGCTGGACGCGGACATGTCAAGAAGTCAAGTCCACAGGAAGAAGCGGCAGCATTTCTCGTGGAGGAGCGCATGGACAAGGTCTTAGTCGACAGGAAGCACGAAGTACACGTGGATGACAGTAGGATGGATCCCCAGCGGCATGATACATTCAAATCAGAAAACATCCCGAACATGGACGTGCAACGCAGAAACGACAGCTGGCTACCAGGTGAAGCAGACTGCTCAGTTCGTAGCCCTGATGCTGAACGAGATCTCCATGTGTGGAGAGACCCTGCACAATGTCAATGACATGATTGATATAATCGATATCGTTGTATCAGGTCTGGATCGACCACCGTGCGGACTGCGTGGGCTCTTGGCAACTATGTCGTGGAATCAAAGGAGTGCCATACTACAAGTCACGCAGGCTGGCACTACTGAGCAGGAGAGAGGACAGCCTGAGTGGTTGGTTCAGAAACTTCAGTTATCTACCTACGGAAGTGGTCATCGTGGACGGCCTCACCAAGACAGGACTGTTCAAGCTACTGATGGAGCATCTTACCACCGGCAGGTGGCACGTATCTCCACCCAAGGGGAAGCAAATCACCATGCGGTGAATGTTGTAGATGGAGGAGAGATGCTTCGAGCAGGACCTCCTCGACCTCGAGGGTTGATCGCCTCGCCGCCTGGCCTTCGCCGGCGCCCGTCCTCATTGATGAGCCCACTTCCTGAGAACAAGGTCTGAGATGGAATAAATCGTTTTTCCCCCTCCCAGAGTTTGTTGTGCACCCAGCGAATCGAGACTGTAACGTGTCTAGACCCAGGACTTCAGAACCGGAGCGCGCATACACATATTACATGGATAGACACATCTATCCATATATATATATATATATATATATATATCTATATGTATATGTATATGTAGATCTGTATGTAACTGTAAATGTGTATGTGTATATTTATATGAGGTAGAGCATGGGTAATATCGGTTGTTATCGTGTGCGTTCAGAGGCAGTTGGCGTAGAGCCCTCCGTCGGATCATCGAGGCTCAAGCTTTAGAAATCAGGGTGATCTCCGCTGAAAGAGAGAGAGAGAGAGAGAGCGAGAGAGGAAGCGAGAGATATATCGAGAGAATGAGGGAGGGACACACATTACACATATACCTAGGTATGCATATATGTAGGTCTGTATGAAAATATGTATATATGTATGCATGTATGTATGTGTGTATATGTATATATGTATATTCATAGTTATGGAGAGAGAAAGAAAGAGAGAGAGAGAGAGAGAGGTAGAGGGCAGGCGAATCAGGACAACAAGGATTAGAAGAGGGAGGATGGTGGTCTTGTTTTTTCCTTCGCGTCTCTTATCCTACTGTTATCGCGAGGCGCGCAACTGGCTGCCGAGCAACATGTGAACAATGAGGATGAGTATGATTAGCATGATGATGATGATGATGGTGATGACGGTAATTCTGATGATGATGTCTATGCTGATGCTGATCTTGATTATGGTGATGGTGATGGTGATGATTGTGATGAGCATAGTGATAAGTATGATGAGGATGAGGATGAGGATAACGGTAATGATGGGGATGAGATGACGATGATAATGATGCTGCAGCTGAGGATGATGATGCTATTGATGATGCTAATCCTGATACTGATAATGAGGATGCTGATGATGACGATGATGATGATGACGACGATGATGATGATGATGATGATGATGATGATGATGGCTGCTGCTGCTGCTGCTGCCGACGGTGACGACGATGATGATGAGGATAAGGATGAAGATGAGGATGAGGATGAGGATGATAAAGATGATGCTCATGCTGATGAAGAATCTGATGATGCTGCTGATGATGCTGCTGCTGCTGATGATGATGATGATGATGAGGATGATGATGATGATGATGATGATGATGGTGATGATGAGGATGCTGCTGCTGATGATGATGATGATGATTATGATGACAATGGTGGTGATAATGATGATGACGATGAGGATGAGGATGCGGATGAGGATGAGATGAGGATGATGAGGATGAGGAGGAGGATCAGGAGGAGGATCAGGAGGAGGAGGAGGAGGAGGAGGAGGAGGAGGAACGCCTCGATAGCAGCTGCAGGCAACTCTGCCGTGCACATGCATCGCCGTGCCCAGATCGCGAGTGTGGTCAGTGGCCTCGCCCGCATTGTGGGATTGTGTCTGCGTCTTGGGCCTTAAAATCGAACCGGCTCTCCAGCGCCTGCCCCCCGACCGAACCTCTCCGACGTCACGATTGCTCACGACGTGGGCTCCAGGAGGTGTACACCTTAGGCGATGCTTAAGAAAACTTAAGTTTTCGGCCAGAGTCTCGATTATTCTTAACGTTTCCATGTAAATCTTCAGATGTTAATGGAAATGTTGGGTTTTTATTTAAGTTCTGAGACTATGAATTTCTTAACCCATGATTTCTTGAGCATTTCGCAGGGTGTAGACCGCTTCCGCGGGACCAGTTCCTCACCCCGACTTGCTTCTTGGTGGTCCTGGGGCCCAAAGTTGGGCCCCCAGGAGGCCGACAGCGGCCAACAACCTCCCTTCGTGATATTGGAGAGAACCCTACGGTCGATTCCACCGACCCTGGAGGGGGATCAGGAGGCCCCAGGAAGGCCGCGAGGAAGCCGAGGAGCGCACGAAGGCAGGCCGACGACAATCCCAGAACGGCTTGAAGAGCACATCGAGATCCCAGAGCCCGAATCTGGGTCCCGGAGAGGGCCCCAATCCTCCCGTCTTCGAGTTTTCGCGACGCGAGGAGGTTGGCCCTGGTTCAGGAGTAGCGATGGGGGGTGACAGGGATAGGCTCAGGGTGGGATGCATCGACCCCCAATCGCCCATTGATCGCCCGCCCTGGAGCGCTCGGATCTGCGTTCAGGGGCCTACGGCTGGTCTATCGGCGATGCATCTTGCCGAACCCAGGTCAATGCTTCTTCTCTGAGCTGCTCCCCTCACGTTGCCCCTCCCCCTCTCCCCTCTCCCCCTCTCCCCTCTCCCCCTCTCCCCCTCCCCCTCCCCCTCTCGCCCTCCCTTTCCCCCTCTCCCCTCTCCCCCTCCGCCTCTTCCTATCCCTCTCCCCCCTCGCCGCCGCTGCCCTCGTCCGTTCTCTCGAGGCCTCTGGAGGCAGGCCAAAGGGGGCCCCACGTCGTCCGAAAGCTTGGATCCTCGAGCCTCGATCCTCGGTCCTGGACGTTCGAGGGGCGGTCTAGGTGGGAGTCGACCTCCCCTCCCGCCACCGGCCAGGGAAGACCACCCTCCTCCACAAGCTGAAGGACGACCGCGTGGCCACCCTGCAGCCCACGCTGCACCCGCACAGCGAGGAGCCGCGAGCAGCCGTCCCGGGGTCTGGTAAGAGTAGGAGGAGCGATGGCGCATGAGGGGTATGCGTGACGTTGGCGATGACGATGACCACGACGACGACGGCGACGACGACTCCGATGAAGACCACGACCACGACGAACACGGCGACCACGACCAAGACCACGACCACGACGACGACGACGACGGCAACGACAACGACGACCACGACGACGAACACCACCACCACCACGACCACGCAGACGACGTCGACGATCACGACCACGACCACGACCACGACGACGACGTCGACGACCACGACGACGACGACGACGACGACGATCACGACCACGACGACGACGATGACCACGACCACGACCACGAGCACGACGACGATGCATACGACGACGACCATGACCACGACGACTACCACGACCACGACGACGATGACGACCACGACGGTGACGACGCCTACGACGACGAGAACGACGATGACGACCAGGACCACAACGACGGCCACGACGACGATCAGGATGAGGAAGAGAATGGAGATCAAGATGAGGATGATGATGAGATGAGGATGTTGATGATGATGCTGATGATGCTGATGATGCTGAGGATGATGACAGCGATGATGATGACGATGATGATGATGATGATGATGCTGATCAGTATCATGATGCTAATCAGGATGCTGCTGCTGCGGCTGCTGGTGCTGAAGATGATGATGATGATCATGATCATGATTATGCTGATTATACTGCAGCTGACGATAATGCTGATGCTGCTGATGATGACGATGCTGATGATGTCAATGATGACGATGACCTTGATGATGATGCTGATGATGACGATGACGACGACGATGATGCTGATTATGATTAGGATGATGGTGATGGTGATGATGATCATGACTATGATGCTGATGATAATGCTGCTGCTGATGATAAGGATGACGATTACGATGATGATGATGCTAATGATGATGCTGATGATGATGCTGACGATGCCGATGCTGATGATGGTGGTGATGATGGTGATGCTGATGCTGCCGCTGCTGCTGCTGATGATGATGATGATGCTGCTGCTGGTCATGACGATGACGATGATGCTGCTGATGATGACGATTCTGATGATGTTGATGATGGTGGCGATGATGGCGACGATGACGATGATGCTGATCACGATGCTGATGTTGATGATGCTGCTGCCGATGATGACCTTGCCGATGATGCTGCTGCTGATGATGCTGATGCTGATAATGATGATGCTGCTGATGATCCTCAGGATGATGTTGATGTTGATGTTGATGATGATGATGCTGATGATGCTGCTGCTGCTGACGCTGATGTCGATGCTTTTGCTCATGATGATGCTGCTCATGCTGATGATGATGCTGATTGTTATTCTGATGCTGCTGATGATGATGCTGATACTGATGCTGATAATGATGGTGATGCTGCTTATGATGCTGCGGATAATGTTGATGTTGATGCGGATGATGATGGTGATGCTGCTGATGATGCTGCGGATGATGTTGATGTTGCTGTTGTTGACGATGCTGATGCTGATGCTGATGATTATATGATGCTGATGATGGTGGTGGTGGTGATTGTAATGATGATGATTACCATGATGATGATGATGATGATGATTATGATGATGATGATGATGATGATGATGATAATGATGATGATGCTGATGATGATGATGAGGATGATCATGATGATGCGCATGATGATGCTGCTGATGAGGATGAGGATGAGGATGATGATGACGATGATGATGAGGATGATGATGATGATGATGATGATGATGATGATGATGATGATGATGATGATGATGATGATGATGATGATGATGATGATGATGTTGATGATGATGATGATGATGATGATGATGATGATGATGATGATGATGATGATGATGATGATGATGATGATGATGATGATGATGATGATGATGATGATGATGATGATGATGATGATGATGATGATGATGATGATGATGATGATGATGATGATGATGATGATGATGCTGATGATGCTGATGATGCTGATGCTGATGATGATGCCAGCATGCACAGCCACACACCCTAGCACAGGGGGCACATCGTCTTGGGATCGGCAGTGACCCCGACCCTCTTGTAGTCGGGCTGGAGACCTTTGCTCGATCTCGCCCAAACAGAGCTTCGAGCAGGCGGCCTGCCCAGACATTGCGGAGCAAGCCGCCTCACGCGACCGCCAGCCGTGTACGCGGTACGGACCTGGCAGACACCAGCGAAACTGGTGTCACTGAAATCTACCACGGGGCAGCAATGCTCGAACTCCCGCAATTTAGCGGGATCGACGCGAAGCAGTCTAGAACGCATTTCAGGAGCGGGCTTCGCAATAGATCTGGACCCGCGCAGACAGTGAGGGCACTGCCAGCACCGACCTGCCCAACTGCAATCGTGCGGTGGCCTCGCATCTCTCACCTTAGGGGGCGGAGCCTCCACGGGAGCGACCCCCTCCAGACTGTTCCAAGGCCGTCTCTCTCTAAAACGTTGGCCGCCAAAGGAGTGACATTGCGAGCCACCGAACACAACAAGTCGATCCCAGCTGTCTCGGCGGCAGACGTTCTGGAATGCATCACGGCACCTTCCTTAGCTGCAGTGCCAACAGCGTTGTTGCCAGTGATGTGCAACCTATCCCCTCTAAGGGCAAATCCAGGCCGTCTTCCTGGTGAGCCCTGTTTTTCGAGACTCCACGCAGGAAACTCTGGGCGAAAGCATCCGTCTGCATCGCGAGCCCGCAGTAGGGCCGATGGGGATGCAGATTGTCCCCAGAGTTTTTGGAAACTCGATCACCACAACCTTGCAATCCTAACAGAAGTCAGTAACGGCCCCTAGGAGTGACGCTACGCAGCCACATCAGTCTGCGGGTAGAAACCTCCCAAAGGGCCGACCATACGAGCAAGGACGCGCCCCTGCTCACTGAGCCAGACCACACTCCAACCCGACCGGGACAGGTCTTTGACCACAGACCTAAGGCAAGCGCCGTCGCCATACATTCGCCCCGACAGCTCCCTTACCCTTGGGTCAGGCGTCGGGAGATCCTCCTCGGAAAAGGCTAGGGAAACTATTGAAACCGCACGGCTTGCATCGCTTCTTCTTGCGAGAACGGTGGCCCTCAAGAGTTGTTTCAGGAGTGAGGAGGAGGAGGCGAGTAAGGCAGTAATCGCTTCCTCGTCCTCGTCCTCCATCGTAAAGGGGTACCCCATATTCAAGTTGATACGTTGCAAGGATAAACGCGTAGCTCCCAAAGGCTCACGGACAGACCTCCAAGACTTCGGTGGCGAGCGCCACGTGGCTCTCCATGCCTGCCTAACCTGCTCCCAAGATGAGGCCCACAGAGTAGCACGGGTCTGGAGTAGCCACAGTTCCTAGCATGCGGGCGCTGCTGCTGCTGATGATGCTGATGACGACGATGGTGATGATGATGATGATGATGATGATGATGATGATGATGATGATGATGATGATGATGATGATGATGATGTTGTTGCTGCTGCTGCTGATGCTGATGGTGCTGATGATGTTGATGATGATGCTGATGGTGATGCTGACGATGATGCTGACGACGAGGATGCTGCTGATGATGATGATGATGATGATGATGACGATACTGAGGATGCTGTTGCTGCTGCTGCTGATGATGATGCTGATGATGATGCTGATGATGATGCTGATGGTGGTGGTGATCATGATGCTAATGATGATGAGTGTGGTGGTGGTGGTGTTGATGATGATGCGGATGATGATTCTAGTGGTGGTGGTGGTGATGATGCTAATGATTGTGTACGTGATGAAGATGGTGATGATATTGCTGACGATGGTTATGATGGTGCCGCTGCTGCAGCTGCTGATGCTTATGCTGATGCTGATGCCGCTGATGATGATGATGATGATGATGATGATGATGATGATGATGATGATGATGATGATGATGATGATGATGATGATGGCGCCTTCGCTCGTTATGATTGTGGGTATGCTGTGTTGGGGGCGGAAGATCCATTCAATGTTGATGTCGTCGATGATGGTGATGGTGACGATGGTGATGTCTTTGCTGCTGATGTCCAAGGTTTGCGCTATTTGTCATCATTCTCGGTCCCGATACTCCCTGTGGCCTCCTCTGTACGAGCCAGGTTGAGGTGTTTCGATGTTGCGGGCTCATTCACATCATGAGCTTATTGGATGGGTGCCGAGGCTTCGCCGCGCGTCTTGCCTAGGGACGGCCTCTGGGCAGATTCACGTGTCGGTCGGTCTGTCTGTCTGTCTCTCTCTCCGTCCGTCCGTCTGCCTGTCCATCCCCCCATCGTGCCTAGTCGCATCACCATCTTCAGCCTCCCTGCTCCGTCGAGACTCTCAGCCTTTCCGACCCCTCGCAGCCGTCCAGGAGCTCATGATCAAGAACATCCGCTTTCGCACCTACGACCTCGGAGGCCACGAGACCGCCCGCCGGATTTGGAAGGACTACTTCGCTTCCATCGACGGCATCATATTCATTGTGGATGCCGCGGACAAGACCCGCTTCCAGGAGGCGAAGGAGGATCGTGGGCCGTGCCACTGTCTGGCCTGAGATGCTTACGCCTCTTGGAGGCGGGGGGAGACGTCAGCGTCAAGGAAGGGGCTCCTGCAGGAGCAGGGTCCTAGAGCTAAGTCGGGCCTGTCCCTCTACAGGAAGTAGTCAAAAAAGAGCCTGGGGAGGATTTGTTTCGACTATTTTTGACCATTCTGGAGTATGTTTTGAGTATGTTTCAATGTTCGTCCAAAATCGGCCTGTCGGGGCACATGCCCGACCTAATCCTAGAGCTGCTTCGCCGATTTCGGGCTCCGCGGCAGCCTGCGCCGCGGCTGTCTGCCCCACCCTTGGATTGCCTCAGTTGCCGCTGCCTGTCTGCTATCTGTGTTGACTCGGCACCTGGCACTAGAGGGTTTCTCCGAAGGGCTTAGGCGACCCGTCCTCCTCCTCCGCCTCCTCCTCCTCCTCCTTCCCCTCCTCGTCCTCCTCCTCCTCCTCCTCCTCCTCCTTCTCCTCCTCTTCCATCTCCTCCTCCCCCTCCCCCTCCTCCCCCTCCTCCTCCTGTTCGGGTCGCCTACGGCCCTGGGGGAAACCGTGCACTTGGCACCAGTGTACCAGCTAATCTTCTGGCATCTGATCCTCCTCGCTAATGCGGTCTTGCTTTCAACCGGATCCATCCATCGGATTCGGTATCGATGTCGGCTGGCCTGATCTGCTTCGATTCCGTTGCTCGGTCACCGACTTGTCCTGATGCTTGCACAGCGCAGCCGACCTGGTTCGATTTTCGATTTCGTACCGATGCAGCCCGATTTGACGCACATTCGGATCAGATCCGATTTTCCGATTCGATGCTTAGTAATTCTGTCCCAGCTTGCAAGTGCCAGCAACCCAAGGAGCTGAGCGGTCTTCTGGAGGATCAGGCTCTTGCCAGGGTGCCGTTCGTCGTGTTAGGCAACAAGATCGACATCCCGACAGCGGCTTCTGAGGAGGAGCCGCGCGGCGGCATTTGCGATTACCTTACGGGCTCAGGATGATCAGGAACAGGCTGAAGAGGAACATCGTGAGAAAATGATGAAGGATGAAGATGTTGAGGATGATGAGGAGTAGCATGACGATGACTGAGACTCGAGATGATGATGATGACGACGACGATGATGATGCTGCTGATGATGATGAGGATAATGATGATGCTGCTGATGGTGAAGATGACGATGATGCTGATGATGATGGTGACGACGATGATGAGGATGATGTTGATGATGCTGATGATGATACTGACGACGATGACGATGCTGCTGATGCTGCTACTGCTGCTGATGATGATGCTGATCATGATGACGATGCTGATGATGATGCGCATGATGCTGATGCTGATGCTCATGATGATGACGGTCATGATGATGCTGCTGTTGATGCTGGTGATGATGCCGATGATGCTGCTGATGATGATTACGTTGATGATGCTGATGATGATGCTGCTGATGATGAGGATGCTGATGCTGCAGCTGAGGATGCTGATGAGGATGATGATGCTGATGTTGATGTTGATGATGATGCTGCTGCTGATGATGATGACGATGATGATGATGCTGATGATGATGAAGATGATGATGATGCTGATGATGATGCCGATGCTGCTGCTGATGATGATGCTGATGATGATGCTGATGATGATGCTGATGCTGATGCTGATACTGATGCCGATGATGCGGAGGATGGTGGTAGATATTGTGGCGGTAGCGGTGGTGATGGTGGTAGGAATGATGGTGATGATGATTGTTCTTCTGGTGGTGATTTTGAGGATGTTAGGGTACTGGTGGTGGTGGTGGTACTGACGATGATGATGGTTGGGGTGGTGATGATGATGGTGTTCATGATGATGATTATGTTGATGCTGATGCTGATGCTGATGCCGATGATGTCGATGATGCCGATGATGATGATGATGATGATGATGATGATGATGATGATGATGATGCTGATGATGATGATGATGATGCCGATGCTGCTGCTGATGATGATGATGATGATGATGCTGATGCTGATGCTGATACTGATACTGATGCCGATGATGCGGAGGATGGTGGTAGATATTGTGGCGGTAGCGGTGGTGATGGTGGTAGGAATGATGGTGATGATGATTGTTCGTCTGGTGGTGATTTTGAGGATGTTAGGGTACTGGTGGCGGTGGTGGTACTGACGATGATGATGGTTGGGGTGGTGATGATGATGGTGTTCATGATGATGATTATGTTGATGCTGATGCTGATGCTGATGCCGATGATGTCGATGATGCCGATGATGATGATGATGATGATGATGATGATGATGATGATGATGATGATGATGATGATGATGAGGCTGCGGATGCTGATGCTGATGCTAATGATGATGATGCTGCTGATGCTGATGATGATACTGATGAATCTGATTATGATGCTGAGGACGATGATGATGCTTAGGTTTGGGATGTGGGTGAGGAGACGGTATGATGATGGAGAGGTGGAGGAGGAGGAGGGAAGAACCATCAGGGAGGGGGAGGGAACTGATGGAAGGGGATGGGGAGGAAGAGGATGAGGAGGAGGAGGCGGAGGAGGAGCAGGAGGAGGAGGAGGATGAGTTTGAGAAGGATGGGGGAGGATGAGGAGGAGGAGGAGGAGTTGAAGGAGGACGAGGACGAGGAGGAAGAGGAGGCGGAGGGCTGTGAGGATGATGATGAAGGGCAGGAGGGCGAAGCAATACTTCTGCTTATCCTGCTGCTGCTGGTGATGAGCATATTGCTGGTGATGCTGCTGCTGCTGATGATGATGATGCTGATCATGATGGGTGCGGATGCTGATGCTGCTGCCGCTGATGATGATGAGGATTTTGCGGCTGATGATGAGGATACTGATGATGCTGCTGCTGATGATGCTGACGATGCTGATGATGCTGATGCTGATGCGGCTGCTGCTGCTGATGATGATGATGCTGATGATGATTCTGATGACGGTGCTGGTTGTGGTGATGATGACGATGATGACTACGGTGGCGGTGATTCTGCTGATGACGATGTTGGTTGTGGTGTTGGTGGTGGTGATGATGGTGGTGGTGATGGTGATGATGAGTCTGTTGGTGGTGGGAGTGATTGTGATGACGATGACGATGATGGCGATGTCGCTGCTGCTGATGATGATGAAGAAGGGCAAACTGTTGCTAATGATGATGCCGATGTTGACGTTGCGGTGGTGGTGGTGGTGATGATGAGGATGATTCTGATGATGATTATGATTATGATGATGATGTTGATGATGCGGATGATGATGATGATGATGATGATGATGATGATGATGATGATGATGATGATGATGATGATGCTGATGCTGTTGATGATGATGCTGATGCTGTTGATGATGATGCGGAGGAGGAGGAGGGGGATGTGGAGGATGAGTAGGGGGATTACGATGATGATTCCGATGATGATGATGATGATGATGATGATGATGATGATGATGATGATGATGATGACGATGACGATGACGATGACGATGATGATGATGATGATGATGATGCTGATGATGATGATGCTGATGATGATGATGATGATGATGATGATGATGATGATGATGATGATGATGATGATGATGATGATGATGATGATGATGATGATGATGATGATGATGATGATGATGATGATGATGATGATGATGATGATGATGATGATGATGATGATGATTGATGATGATGATGATGATGATGATGATGATGCTGCTGCTGATGATGATGATGATGATGATGATGATGGTGGTGGTGGTGGTGGTGCAGTGTTTGTGATGATACCGATGACGGTGGTGGACGATGATGGTGATGAGGAGGGGGGATACGGTGGAAGAGGGGGAGGGGAGGAGGAGGAGGAGGAGGGAGGAGGAGGAGGAGGAGGAGGAGGAGGAGGATGAGGAGGAGGTTGGAGGAGGAGGGTGAGGAGGAGAGTGGTTATACTGATTGTGATGGTGGTGGCGACGATGAGAAGGAGGAGTGGAGGAGGAGTGGGGATGAGGAGATTGAGACACATGATGTAGAGGATGAGGCTGGATGACTCGATCGCGGACGCTGCCGGTCGGGGGTTGGTGCTGCGGGGGCTTTGACGACAGGGCGGTGGGGAGGGGGGTCCGACTCGGTGACCTCGCCAGGCCTCCTTACCCACCGTTCCTCGAATGCAAGTCGGGTGAGGGAGGGCGGGGGGAGGGAAGGGAGACGACGCCAGCACCAACGACAAAGACGAAGCTGAAGACAACACCGACGACCGCGACGACGACATTGACGACGACGAGACGTCGTCGGCCTTTCTGACGGATTCGCTGTGCCCGAGGTTTGACTACAGGGATGTCCCAGGCGGGCCGCGTGCGGATGCAGAGAGGAGGGGGCACGGAGCGGGAAACGCAGTCTGCTGCTACTCAGCCTTGGACCATCGTTGCGATTGCGAGTGCGAAGATGGTTACTAGTTGGAGGAATGGGCGGAGGAGGAGGAGGAGGACCAGTGTAAACCCAAGAGTCATCAACGATGTTGGAATAAACCCTTCCTCCACGCTCCCTCTTCATATGCCCTGTGCAACGGTTCATTTCCACTGAGGAAACTGCCTCGTTGGAAGACGACCATGTGAAGACCCTGAAGCATGCCAACACTTTGTTCTCGGGATTCCAACGCCACGGGTCAACCTGACTGTTGCGTCTTCACGATCCTGAATCGTCCCAAAACGCCATTCCTGGGACTTCAACGCCGCGAATCAACGTAGCTGCTGCGCCCTCATAATCCTGCAGTCTTCCCAAAAACAGTTTGTGGTACGCTGATCATGGGAACCCGTGAAAACCTTACAAATGTCAGAAACGAATGTGCGCGGCACAAAGGCGAGAGCGACTTTTGAACAGGAACCGCCCTCAAGCCGTGAAGCCCTTGCAATTGTTACACACGAATGTGCGCGGCGCGAAGGCGAGAGCCAAGTTTTGCAAATGTAAAAACGAATGTGCGCGGCGCTAAGGCGAGAGCGACATTTTGAAAACGACCCGCCCTCCATCCGTGAAGCTCTTGCACATGTTAGAATGTTAGCGGCGCTAGGGCGAGAGCCACATTTTGAAAACCACCCACCTCCAACCCGTGAAACTCTTGCAAAGTTCGAAAACGAATGTGCGCGGCGCTACGGCGAGAGCCACATCGTGAAAACGACCCGTCCTCAATCCGTGACACCCTGGCATTTTTTGTTTAAACGACTGAGCGTTACGCTGAGGCGAGAGCCACATCTTGAAGACGACCCGCCCTCCATCTGTGAAGCTTTTGCTACCTTTTCAGCTTCAGGTTCATCAGTGGTGAGGAAGTCTCAGGCGAAACGCAAGGCCCGCCTCAA